TGCTACTTGATGCAGGCGCAATATTAATTAGAAGAAAAAGCTTCTCCGCATGTTCCTTAAGGGCAAGAAAATCTTTCCCAGAAATCTCCTGACTTTTTCTCCCCTTTCTATTAACCCAAAAGCACCTACCCTTAAAACAATCACCAGCAATGTGATTAAAACCACCCTGATTCATTGAAGGCAATCAGAAATTTATCCCTGGACTTGAAATAGGGTCACTCGCCTAACAAAGGCTACACAAACAAAACAAAATAGGGGCTAGGCCAATAAGGATAAAGAGGGAGAACAAATGTTATCTAGGCAACCTACAGTGTCTACCACAAATTTTCCATAAGTATATGCATTTTAAGAACATTTCCATTCTCAATGTAAGTTTACAGTTTTCTAAGGGAATCGTTTTAGAAGAAAAACTCTTCCAGGTTCTGAGAGAGGAAGAATTTACAAGGTTAGCATTTAATCCTTTCATGACCCAATTATTATTTGCTTTGATTTTTTGTTGATATTCTGCATTGCTCCAACATGAATAACAGCTCATTATGTTTGCTGTGCTGTCTCTGTCTCTGATCCATGATTCTCATGCCTTCTGCCAGCATCCATGAAAATGTATCCTTCATAGTACTTGTCAGGGTATGGACTTCAAAGTAAGGAAGTAGAGAAATTCAATTTAGCAAGTAGAAGCATGTACTCTCTTGGCAGGAAATGGTTAGGAGGTCAACAATCAGTATCAAAAGGCCAAATGTAAAGTAAAAGAACACCCACATAAGCAGATAGAATCCAATAACAGACAATTCAGAAACAGAAAACAAAAATAATTCAGACAGGCACAAGTTGCTACTAGGAAAGTCTGTCAGCAAGTAACAGGCCCCAAGACCCAAAGCAGGGATTCAGACGCAGGATTAATCTAGATGACAAAAAACAAAAGTAAGGCAGAGCTTTAATCCTAAAAGGGCTGGAACTAGGAAAGCTATAGAAACCTGGCATTCTCTAGTAGAACTAGAGGAAAATTCAGACAATTAGAACTAATGTTGAAGATTATTTTGGACACTATGCCATAGGTATTTTAAATACCAGGAGGGTTACCAATGGTAGAATGATCTCAGCAGAACTCCCAGACTAAGACATACTAGGAAGAAAGAGAGACAGAATACTCCTGAAGGGATGCTCACTGAAGATCTCATGAAAAGCAGCAGAATACGGTCTGATATAATGCCAGAAAATAGGCCCATCAGATCTGAAAGCATTCAAATATGACTGAGGAAGAGCTGCCTCCTCAAGGTAGAGCTGATCTTTATGATGTGGATGGAACAGAGCTTTTAAACTTTCATTTGCTGATGGGGCAAAACTCAAAATGAGAAGGAAAAAAAAAAAAAAAAAAACAGCTGTAAATATCCACTGGCTGCAACAATGGGCTCAAAAATGACAATTGTGAAGCTGGTACAGGAATGGGCAGCATTCCATTGTGCACAGGGTTGCTATGCGTCAAAATCAACTCAACGGCACCTAAAAACAACAACAATCCAATGTTGGAATGTGCTCTACAGAATAAAGTATACAGATGGGATCCACATGGCCCTATAGTGGAGGCCTTGTGTGGCACTGTGGGTGAATGCACTGGACTGCAAGGTCAGTTTGAACTGCAAGGTCAGTGGTTCAAGTTCACCAGCTACTCCTTGGAAACCCTATACAGAGTCGCTATGAGCCAGAACCAACTCTATAGCATTTAACAACATTGTGGGTAAAGAAGGGATCTTAAATCTGGGGTCAAGACAAGATCCAACAAAACTTATGTTAAAAGTCAACCACAAAATAATGTCAATGGACCAGAACAATGGTCCATCTTCCTCATATGATGACAATGTCTGGAAGGTAGGTACAAAAGAGATTTATAGATCCTGAGTTATGCAATACTATTAAGAAACATCATAGCCTGCACAGTTCTACATTAGAGCATTTACATTGTTTTATGTGAGATGTTCTCAGAAAAAAAACTATCTGATACGATGCTAATTTGAAAGGAAAAAATGCTTTTATGAACAAATAAACTACCTAAATTATACATATTTTACTGAGAGGTGCAGTTTGCATTTGACCTTTAAAACTAGGGCACGGTAGTACAAGGATAGAGTAAGAAAAACAAAACAGTCTGTGGCTTTTTCTAATGGTACAGTTTTGAATAGAGCTACCTCTAAGGAAGTGCTGGCGGCGCTGTGGGATAAAGCACTTGACCGTAAGGTCACTTTGAACCATAAGGTCTGTTGTTCAAACTCACCAGTCGGTCGCTCCTTGGAAACCCTATACAGGGTGGCTATGCTCTGGTAGCGTAGTGATTATGAATCGGGCTGTGAACCTCAGGGTCAGCAGTTCGAAACTACCAGCTGTTCCACAGGAGAAGGATGAGGCATTCTGCTCCCATAAAGATTTACAGCCTCGGAAACCCTGTACATGGTCACTATTGAGTCGGAACTGACTCCACAGCACATAACAACAACAACGAGTCATAACCGACTCAATGGCACTTAACAATAACACTCTTCTAAGCAGTTTTCTAAAATTACTACTATTTGGAAAACTTGCCCACTTCTACTCATTTGTGAAACAACTGTCCCACAGGTTTAAACACATAGAGGGTGGCAGGCTGGTTTGGCCTGGGGAAATAAAGACAGTTACCACAAAACAAAGCCTCTAGAGATAAGAAATTTTAATTCTTTGGCTTTAAACTTAACATTTAAAACACTACAACAAGGACGCATTCTGAATTTATGCTGAGTGAAATAAGTCAGTCACAAATGGACAAATATCATATGACCTCACTTATATTGAGTAACTAGAATAAGCAAAGGCACAGAGACCAAAGCTTTATTAGTGGTATCCGGGGCAGGAGAGAGAGAGGCAAGACATCATTGTTTAGAAAGCAGAGAATGTCTGTTTATTGTGATGAAAATTTGGCAATAGCTATTGCCGAGGAGTGAAAAACTTAATTAATGTAATCTATGTCACTTGATTGTACATATAAAAAAACACTGAATTGACAGTTAGCATATGATGTGTATTTTAAAACAATTAAAACATTTAACATGTTGTTTCTCAAATGCTTCTATTGAGTCTTTTTCTACCTTACTACTGCATTACATTGCTGGAGAGTAGATATTTCTTTCTAGCAGTTCTTACCTTTCATCTGTTTGTACTTGGCACTATGATTAATCCAGACAGTACTCTGCTTGTCTGGGTATTATTAATTACTAAGTTTTCCATCGCTTTCAACTCTCTTCCTTTCCTGTTTTTCCTTCCTTTTTCTACCTTATTGGAGGTAATAAGGAAAAATGTACAAAAGCAAGACAGACTAAAGGAAATATAATAAACCAGTCACAGCTGACTGTCTGATTGCTGCTAAACATTGCTTCTGATAGCAATTATGAATGTTCGATACCACAAATCATAACACTGTATACCTGAAATAAAGCTTAACAAGAACAAAAGACACCGTCTGGGACCTTTAAACAGCTCCAGCACCATAAACAACGTGTACAAAAGGACTTTCTAATCATGCCCAGCAACCATGTTACTCTCGGGTACTAATTAGTGTCTCCTTTGTCCCCAACTCAATGTCTCTGTTTACTGGACTTTCCAACTTTCATCCTCCTCTACTTCTTTGTAGTGTCTCTCAACTCTTAGTTCTGCCACAGTGGACTCTAATGCCCAATCCTTTCCATTTCCTATAGATGCTCTCTAAAATAAACCCAGCTCGGCCCTGAGGGTGGAATACTGCACTGGATTGCGGAGCACAAGATCAGCAGTTCAAACCCACTAGCTGCTCCTTGGAAACCCTATGCAGGGATGCTGTGACTCAGAACCGACTGGATGGCACTTAGCAACAAGGCCTGAGGGCAGTACTACCTCCACCACCACTCCACCACTCCACCAAATCACCTCCCATACTCCTCTGAGCACCACATCAGGAATGCAGAAATTGGCATTTTCCTGACTCACTTCTGCAAGCTCCAAGCTGTAACTCCTTACTTATGAAAAAGTCACTGTCCTTTAGGGACTCGACAAATTATTTAACACACTCTATAGACTTTTAGCCAATGTCATTACTCTCTTCCTTTATTCACTGCAAATTTTGAAACCTGGCTCTCAGCATCTACGTTACTATCTCAACTTCTGTCATAAAGTCAGGAGATTTTAAGGTGTACACATACGATCCATTTATCAACCTAACCTTGAAATAACTGAAACTTCTTAGCTCAAATCACCTTCCCTCAATTTCTAATTTTGCACACCCAGGTTTTGTCATCACCTGGACCTGCACCTGCATTAACTCAGAAATACTAAGATCTGGAATCCTAGCCACTTTCCAGACATTCCCATTCTGCTACTTTTTCCTTTATACACAAATCTTTAGCTCACAGTGGTTTCCAATTTCTTAATCACTTCATTTTCTCCTAGTCCACTGGGCCCTTCTGGGGCATATCTTCCTTTCTAGCCCAGTCTGGACTTCATGGCTAAATATCTGAGCTCTTCTTCTCACGAGTCATTACTGGTCCTTTGCACTGCTAGACATCTGCTGCACTTGTCAATCAAAACTCCAACCCTGATGCAATGCTGCAATCTGCCCTTTACAGTCTTACATACAAATGAATAAATACTGAAGGAGATCAGCTACACAGCTGTACTAACTTCTATCTCTATGAATTAATGATTTCTAACCTAGCTGGGTCTTCCATGTGCCCACTAAATCAATTTTCCTGACTAGAAATATATCTAGAGTTATCCTCATCTTTACTCTATTTACTCCAATTCAGAAAATGAAATGTCTCCTATTATTTTAAATCAACTTGTCATCATATTCTAGAGAAAAACAAGCCACCCAAAATGGCAGCTGACTAGACTATGAACACTTTGCACTCTCAGGCACAATCCACATTTCAAGATAACTGAAAAATACGTTAAGTTCTAATGTCTACAAAAATATAAATCTCATAGACAGAGTTCAAACTTACTTTCCTTTGTCCTTCAACCATTCTGGGTTCTTTTCTTCTTCTTTTAAGTCACTAAGTTCAGGAATATCAGTATTCATTGCTCTACGTGCCTCTGCTTGTTTATGCAACCACTGAAATGAGAATGAAGTCTTATAAAGAACACAAAGGTTTTATTTTTATTAGCAGTTTGTTTTAGATTTTCCATCATTCTCCAGTAAGTGGAAATAGTATTTAATGACAGTAATTTTAAGCTTCCATTCTTCTTTCTTTTCTAAATTTTTTTTTTTTTAAACCTCACTAGCTAGAGGCTTCTGTGGAGTCATGGTGTGGCACTAAAGGTTAAGCACTGGACCATAAGGTCAGTTTGAGCCACAAGGTTAGTGGTTCAAACTCACCAGCTACTCATCAGAAACCCTATACAGGGTCGCTATGTGTTGGAACTGACTCAATGGCACTTAACAACAAAGCAGCAGCTTAAGGTCAAACATGTAAATGTTTAGTCCAAATTTCACACTTTCTGGGAGTCCATGTAAATGCTATTTTTATGTTTACAGCAGATTTGTATTTTCTGTAATGAAAAATGTGATTATATAATTTACATAAATAAAAGTTTACAAATAATATACTGTTAAATAATAAGAAAAAGATCAATATTCTAAAACTGCCATTCTGTCTTAAAGATCTTCAATTGTTTCTACAGTTTTCCAATTCAGAGAGGTATGCTGCAATAAAAAAAATGCAGTTCTTAGTACTTATATAACTAAATCTATAATATTTCCATTTATTTGAGAAATTTTAATTTCTAGGGCTCAGGAATTTCTAAATGCATGAAAGCCATTCATTCTAAAATGTCACAACACTGGAAAATACTCAATATTAACAATAAATTTCTAAATCTCTTCTTACCAAAACATCGATTAATCCAAAATTTGCAAATCTATTATAAAAAACAATTATTTTTTATTTAAAAAGTGACCAGTGCAGTTTACTTCTTGAAGTAATCAACTATGTTGTTGTTAGTTGTTAGGTGCTGTCGAGTTGATTCTGACTCATAGCAATCTTATGCACAGCAGAATGAAACACTGCCCAGTACCACACCATCCTCACAATCGTTGTTAAGCTTGAACCCATTGCTGCTGTCACTGTGCCAATCCATCTCACTAGCGGTCTTCCTCTTCTTTGCTGACGCTCCACTTCTCCTAGCATGATAACATTCTCTAGTGAATGGTCCCTCCTGACAATATGTCCAAAGTATGAGAGATGAAGTCTCACCATCCTGGCTTCCAAGGAAAATTTTGGTTGTACTTCTTTCAACACAGATTTGTTTCTTCTTCTATGAGTCCATGGTACTTTTAATATTCTTCTCCAACACCATAACTCAAATGCACCAAAATTCTTCTATGGTCTTCCTTACTCACTGTCCAACTTTCATATGCATATGAGAAAATACATGGTTTGGGTCAGACACACCTCTGTCCTGAAACTGACATCTTCATTCTTGAACACTTTAATAGATCTTTCACAGGCAAATTTTCCTAATGCAATATGTCATTCGATTTTTTGACTGCTGTTTCCAACAGTTTTGGTGGTGGAGCTAAGCACAATGAAGTCTATGATAACTCATTATTTTCTCCATTTATCATGATGTTATTTATTGTTCCAGTGGTGAGGATTTTTGTTCTCTTTACCTTGAGGTGCAACCCATTACTGAAGGCTATGGTATTTGATCTTCATCAGTAAGAATTTTAAGTCCTCTTCTTGATCAGCAAGCAAAGTTGTTATCATCTGCATATCGCAGTTGTTAATGAGTCGACTGCCAATCCCGATGCCATGTTCTTTTTCATATAATCCAGCGTCTGAGATTATTTGCTCAGCCTACAGTATGTGAATTTATCATTTGCTCAGCAATATGTATGGTGAAAGAACACAACTCTGGTGTATACCTGTCCTGATTTTAAACTACTCAGTGTCCCCTCATTCTGTCTGAATGACTGTCTCTTGGTGTATGTACAAATTCCTCATGAGCACAATTAATACTCATATTCCTCAATGTGGGCCATAGCTTTTCATGAGCCACACAGCTGAAAGCTTTTCACGGTCAATAAGGCACAAGAAACCATCTTTCTGGTATTCTCTGCTTTCAGCCAAGATCCATGTGACATCAACAAAGATACACCTCATTCCACATTCTTGTCTGAATCTGTCTTGAACCTCTGGTAGTTCCCTGTCAATGTAATGTTGCAGCTGTTTTTGAATTATCTTGAGTAAAATTTTACTTGCAGGTGATATTATTGATATTGTCTGATAATTTCTGCATTTTGTTGCATCAATAATATTGCATATTAAGTCAGTATTAAAGCATCAGCATTCTGAATCAAAATAAGATCTGCAGAATTTCTCATCAGTAGATATTAAAATATACTCATTAAGTATTATCTTTAGTGAAATGAATACTTAAGAAATTCAGAACCAGTACTAATTTAAATAGATGGAATGAAAACTATTTTTATTTGTAATGACTGCAACTAACACAAGTAGACGTACCTCCTCTTCTTCTGCTACCTGTGATTCCCGGAGAGCTGTTGGGAATACTCGAGGGGTAAAGTTGATCTTAATACTGCCAAGAGTACGAGGAGCAGGAACGTTGTCTTCCTTTAGCTTCTCACAAAATATATTTTCTGAATCTCTTCCTTTAAGAACAATATCGATAAGTCATTCACTTCTCATTTTCTAAATTAGCAAGCAAACTGCCTCTTAAAGGGACTGAATAGCAAAGCTAGTTCTAAAAGCCTACACAAGCAAATTATAGATATTTTCTGTAAAAGGAATGTAAAATCAATTATATAGTGTCTAATTTGTTCTTTAGCCAATGACCACAGATTATTTTCTGGTGTTCTCGCTTAAATTACTGTTGGTGTTAAGTGCTATTGAGTCAGCTCTGACTCATAGCAGCCCTGTATAGAGTTTCCAAGGAACGGCCAGTGTGCTTGAATCGCCGACCTTGCAGGCCAGCACATTAACCCACCATGCTAAACTAGGTGTCCAATTTACAGCAACTCTAACGAAGAATACACTTTATTTAGGAAAAGCCATCACTGCCAACACTACCTCTATTTCCTTAAGTTCCTATAGTAATCTATCCTATAAACTACTTCCAAAGATTTCTAACAAGCAGAAGTGGTTGGCTGCGGTGGAGTCTGCCCTGACTCATGGCAACCCCGTATATGACAGGACTGGATTGTTATTATCTATAGGCGATTATCAGAAGTAAATCACCAGTCCTTTCTTCTGAGTCTGGAAACTCTTCTGAAACCTGTTCAACATCAGAACAACACACAAGCCTCAAGTGACAGAAGAGTGGTAGCTACACTTGAAGAATATTGGTCAGAAATTGAACTCAGGACTCCGGCACGGTGAGCGAGAACCTAGGATTACTGCCTTCATACAGATGAGGAGAGAAGTTAATCCAGTCATTTTCAGAATTACGTTATGGTAAGACACACAATACCAGCAGTAGATAAAATACAGCTAAACATACACTATACTTATGGGTCACTAAAAAAAGATGTGTCTGTGCTTACCATTTAAAATTGACCAACATATGAAACAGGTTCTGCAATAGGTTCTGCAATACATTCTTATTTCCTTGTGATGGTGTAATAATTTTCAGCCACTGGAGACAGGTAATAAGAATTGGCAAAGAACACCAATCAAGAGATATGCCATTTAATAAAGGTAGTTAGGTAGATATGTTGTTGTTATGTACTGTGGAGTCGGTTCTGACTCATAGAGACCCTGTACAGGGTTTCCAAGGCTGTAAATCTTTACGGGAGCAGGAAGCCTCATCTTTCTCCCGCAGAACAGCTGGTAGTTTCAAACTGCTGACCTTGCGGTTCGCAACCCGATTCGTAACCACTATGCTACCAGAGGAGCAAATCAATATAAGAGGAGAAAGTAATCTTAAGTGTTGGAAAATGAATGATAGCTAGAAAAATACAAATGTAACAATGATACACAGATTTAAAATGCATATGTAAAAATGATTTACTACAAATATAATAGTTAATATGCTTAATATAAAATGGATTTATACAAATAAGTAAAAATAAATTTAGATTCCAATTCAAAAACTAGAAAATAGCATGGATAGATACTTCAAAGGAGGAGAGAAGGGAAATACCAAAATGGAGATCTGAAGAGACTCTGAAACTTGCTCTGCAGCACAGATACTAAAATGAATGGAAGAAATAAGGAAGTAAAAAAGCTGAACAGAAAACTTCACAGGGCAGCTTGAGAAGATAAAATCAAGTATTATAACGCAATGTCAAAGGCCTGGAGTTAGAAAACCAAAAGAGAAGAACACACTCACCATTTCTCAAGCTGAAGGAAATGAAGAAAAAATTAAAACCTGGCCTTGCAATATTGAAGGATTCTATGGGCAAAATACTGAATGATGCAGAAAGCACCAAAAGAAGATGTCAGGGTACACACAGAGTCACTGTACTAAAAAGAAATGGTCACTGTTCAACCATTTCAAGTGGTAGCTTATGATCAAGAACCAATGGTACTGACAGAAGAAATCCAAGCTACACTGAAGACATTAGCCAAAAATAAGGCTCTAGGAATTGATGGAATGCAAACTGAAATATTTCAACAAACTGAGGAAGCACTAGAGGGGCTCACTCATCTATGGCAAGAAATTTGGAATACAACTACTTGGCCAACTGATTGGAAGAGATCTGTATTTGTGCCCAATCCAAAGAGAGGCAATCCAATGGAATGAGTCGCTAATGTACACATACAGCCTGGTGGAAGGAACACAGTTTCAAATGAAGACAGACCTGGGTTCAAATCTCAGATTTACTTACGGGATAGTTATCTGTCCTGTCTGAACATCTACTTCCTTTAAAATACAGATCACAGCACTTATCTCAAAGTGCTGCTGTGAGTATTGAATGATACAACCTACATTAAAGGACTTCAAAAGTTCATAGAAAAATTCATTATATAAATTTCATTTTTTCACAAATGAATATATCTTCCACAAACTTTTGGAAGGCCCCTTGTAAAGCCACCTGGTTAATTATCATCTTGGAGTCCTAGTGTGGTGCTGTGGGAAGGTCCCAGACTGCAAAGCTGTTTGAACTGCAAGGCCAATGGTTCAAGCTCACCCTATAGAGGGTTGCTATGGGTCAGAACCAACTCGATGGCACTTCACAACAACAGCAATTATGTACTTTACTATAAAATAGTTTATTTATAGGAATTCAAATAATTATTAACTTATTTGAATTAAAGATATTAAATATACTCAAAGTTTAATATTATAAAATCAGATAAAAGCAAATTCATAGCTCTCAACAAAGAATTACACTCTTTTGCCAATTTGATCATTCCATCCCAGGGTGAAAGAACCAGAAGCCACCAGGTTCCAGTCTGCTTCCAAGGATCATTCCAAATGTAAGACTTTAAACTTGTTTTTTGTCCTCATTTTTGTGAGTTATGTGAGAAAATAAATCTTTAATGCAACTCTTAGTGTCCTTTCTGTAAAGGAATATATGAATGTTCCTGACACTGGCCTTTCAAAGTGTCTTTGAACAAGAACATGAGGAAACCACATATTTTAAAGCCTCTATGTAAATTTCAAAAGGAAGTACACAATCAAAAAAGATAACACAGAATCTTTTCTCATTCTCTTATGAAAACTTTACCTCCTAGAAGAACAAATGAGCCTCTCACTTTAGTTTTTGTATTGTATTATTTATTCTTAATACACCAAAATACTAACCTAATACTACAACGAAATTTTTAAAAAGTGTCATAGGACTCACTGTTCTAGAAAATACTCAAGTAATCATAATACCTTTTGTGGGAAGAGTTCTAGATGCCACATTTTTAGTAAGACTCTTTTTATTATTCAGTTTTTTTCTTTCTTCTTCAATCTTCTTTTTTTGTTGATGAAATTTCTCATCTTTCTGTATTTTTTCTGGTTTTCCAGCTGTCTTTTGATGTTCTTTCCAGGCTTCCAATTCTTTAGTTGCTTTTATCCTTTCATTTTCTTTCATAGTTTCTATTCTTTTCCTCTCTTCTTCTTCAATCTGGAAAATTTTACAATGACTCAATTCTTTGTAAAATATAAAAAGGAACATTTTTACATTGTATGAAAATTCATTATGAAATTTATTCTCATCTCCAAACGCTTGCTGTTATAGCTACAACAACAGGTTGTAGTGGGTATGCACTGAAGTGTGTCCCCCAAAAATATATGTTGATGTTCTAACTTCCATACCTGTGAATGTGTTCTGTTTGGAAATAGATTCTTTCTTTGAAGATGGTATCAGAGAAGGGTAAGTCCTTATCCCCTTATGAGTGATGTTTATAAAAGGCGAGAACAGACATGGAGACAAAGTCACAAAGGAGAAAACAGATGCCATGTGAAGCTATATCTATAATCCAAGGCACACAGAGATACCCGGTTACCAGGAACAGTCTTTTATAAGGTTGGAAAGAAATAATATGGTCCTGATAATGCCCTGAATTTGTATTCCTAGCCTCCAGAACTGTGAGGCAATACCTTTTTGTTCTTTAAAAGCACCTGCTAATAGTATAGCCGCCCTAGGGAACACAGACAATACTATGTAGATAATTAAGCTTAAAATGGGAACAGTAAATGGTTCAGTCAAAAGTACATTGATTTGGGGTCATGGAACACAAGGTTTAGTCCCAAAGCCACTATTAAATATTGATGTGATCTTGGGTAATCACTTCCTCTACTCTCATTTTACTTATATGTAAAATGTGGGCAGGCATTCAATTAAATGATAGTTAGACTGCAAATCACAGGTTGGTGGTTCGAGCCCACCAACTGAGAGACAGATTAGAATTTCTGTTCCCGCAAAAGATTTAAAGCCTTAGAAACCCTACACAGGATCACTATGAGTTGGTACAACTCAGTGGCACTTAAAAACAACAACAACAACAACTTGGTTAAAAAGTAAAATAACAAGAATGCATTATTCTAAAAGTTAAGTCACTTCTCCCAGATCTTACATACATATCCAAGCACATAAACGCAAACATTTGCCTTTCTACTTATTCCAGTCTTGTCTTGTCCTAGGACTGAAGTTGAACTGATTATCTTCATCTGAGGAATGAGGGAATAGTAGAAAAGGGAAATAGGGAGAATGAAGGGGAGAGAGTTTTTCTCTGTTGGAGAGAAATGCTTGAACTCTTAATCTTGCTGCCTACTATGTAAACACTAGCAGTTACTTGAAATTTTCACACGAAAACCTAAATTATTAGGTGAATTTGACAGCTGTAACCTACACAGTAACTTTCTCCCTTTCTTAAATCTCCCTCCCTTAGGAAATAGAAAAAAATACAGTAAAATAGAGTAACCAGTTGGTATATACAATTGACTCCATGTATCTGACTTCCTGGTGTAGCAGCTGGCTAAACACTGGGCTGCTACCTGAAAGTTATCAGTTCAAATCCACCAGCTGCTCTGCAGGACACAGTTGTAGCAGTCTGCTTCCATAAAGATTTCCGTTTGGGAAACTACATGGGGCAAGTCTCCTCTGTTCTATTTATTAGTCCACTATGAGTTGGAATTAACTTGACAGTAGTAGATTTTTGTTTGTTTCTACTCTATAGAAACACTGTCCAATAGAACTTTCTTCGATGGTGGAATTTTATTTCTACTTTTTATTGTGGTTTGGGGAGAAGTTTACAGAGTAAATTAATTTCTCATTCAACAATCTGTGCATGTTTTAGTCACAATTCCCTCAATGTAACAGCTCTCTTCCTACTTCCTTCCTAGGTTACCAGTTTCCATTCATCCTCCTTTCCTACTCCTTCCTGACTTCTGAGCTTTGCTTTGTGGCAAATGCTGTTCTTTTACCTTGTAGGGTTGATTTTTCTGAGGATTTTGTTCCTCACTGGTGTTATTGTTCGCTTTATAGGTTTGTTAGAATTTGGCTGAAGTGTGATCTCTAGGGGTGGGTTCAGTTCCAGGTTTGAAGGGTATCTACGGACCACAGTCTCTGGGTTCCACCAGTCTGTACCAGATCCGTTAGTCTGGTCTTTTTATGATGGAATTTTGTTCTATTTTTCTAACATTGTATACAATACAACATTTGCCAAGTCAACATTTTGGGCATACAGTTTCATGATATCAGAACCATTAATCATGTTGTGCGATCCTCACCCATAATCATTGTCAAATTAAAATGGAAAATGCTTTGTGCTATCCAGTACAGTAATCACTCGCCACATGTGGCTAATTAAGTATTTGAGATGTGGCCAGTGCAAACTGAGGAACTGAATTCTAAATGTAAGTGCCAGTATTATAAATGTAAATTAATTTAAATTTAAATAGAACATCTGGCCCAGCTCCAGAGTGCCATGTGGAGATGACGTTCCTGGAGATTAAGTTATTTTAATATATGAATGTAAATCAGAGGCATAAAAACTATGCACTGAGAGATGGTCTGAAATATCTGCATCACAGATAGTCATATGCTTTTCGGAAAGAATGACTATTTATGTTCCCACTGAACTGTGAGCCACTGGCTTTTAAGTAAATTTCACAAGCTGTTGAATGGAGTTCCCTAGAGTCCTAGAATCAAAGCTAAGGCCTAAACTAAACACAAAAGAGGCTAATTGTCACATGTTCTAAGTTCAGAGAGCTGCTGGTGAGCTGCCAACAGGTGGGGCCAGAAAGAAGCCGTGGCTTTAGGAATGGACCAGCATTTAAATGCTTGGCAAAAGGATAAATGATTACCAGAGATGATAACTTCACCAAGTTAAAAATAACATGCTTGCCATGTTTATTCTCCTTCCTCTCTGCCCCAACACATGAAGGAAAGAAAATGTATGTGAAGAATCAAAATAAACATAGTTCCTGACTTACCAGGAATTAAAGTCACAAAGAACCACATATCTTATTGTAAGTAATATGTACTATCTACTACATACAATGCAGGAGAAAGATGAGGCTTTCTGCTCCCATAAAGATTTAAAGTCTCTGAAACCCCATACAGAGTTGCTGTGTGTCAGAACTGACTCCACGACACATAACCAACCAACCAATCAACTACATCCATGGAGTTCTGGTGTGGTGCTGTGGGATAAAGCACTGGACCACAAGGTTGGTTTGAACCACAAGATTGGTGGCTAAGATTTGCCTGCCATTCCTTGGAAAGCCTATACAAGGCTGCTATGAATTGGAATCAACTAGATGGCACTTAACAACAATAAACAACACCACATATAATGCTAAAGAACACAATTTGATGATGTTATCATTCTCACATGTTCATGTGAGATAGGCTATTTAAACATACAGATAATAAACGGCAATAATAATAATGAAAACTAAAAAAAAAGGCATTTGACTTATGATGGACTCCTTAGAACAGAACCCCATTGTAAATCAGAGATTACCTGTACTCTCATGCCTTGTAATACCTGCAAGCTGAGTGAACTTAAAATTAAGTTTATAGAAATCTATAAAATGATGTCTCAATTGACAAAAATGTAACTGTTCCTATAACCAAAAGTAACTGGGAAGTTATGGTATTATAGCCAATTTAAAATTTAATCTATAATAGCCATATGAGGGGGCTTCCAGGTCATGGAATAATTCCATTATCTTTTAATTCCATTTTTCCATGAACTTTTTGAAGTCTCCTAGTATAACTCATTGTTGTCAAGTCAATTCTGACTCAGAGCGAGCCAACATTCTTGTTGTTAAGTGCCGTCAAATCGGTTCTGACTCACAGCAACCCTATATAGACTCTCTGAGGAGTGGCTGGTGACCTTGAACCTTGCAGTTCAAACTGATTTTTGGTCCAGTGATTATTCTACAGTGCCACACCGGGACTTCTACAGGACAGAAGAAAACTGCTCATAGGGTTTCCAAATCTATAATCTTCATTGCAGTAGATTGCCACATCTCTCTACCACAGAACATATGGTCGGTTTGCAGGGTTAAACTTTCAGTTAGCAGTCAACAATGAGAGACACAAAAATAGTTTAACTCTTCAGGGAGTAGTGAAGCATTTCTGCTTGATTCGCTTAGTTGATATAAGGAACTAGAATGAGGAGAAAAACATAATAAGAAATTACACAAAGCCTAGGATCAAAAGAAAGAGATGCTACAAATACTAAAGAGAAAGAGATAGGCAAATGTTAAGGATTCCTTAAAGGTCTTTAAAAACTCCTCTAATACAGAGGACACACAACGTACAAGTGGAATCCATCATAACAGAAAAAATCAGAAGGTTTGGAAAAATCAATATATATGAAGGAATTGAATTTTAAATTTTGGGTACTGATCAAAAGGGACTTTCATATCGTATAGGGCATTACTTCAATACACACAGCAAATGTAAGAAATAGAACAATGAGCAGCTCTAAACCAAATTCATGAAAAAGGAGAAATCTATATGTAATTTTTTAAATTGGGAATGAATGTCTGTATTAACAAGGCATGGCTCTTTAAAAGCCATCTCCCTTATGAATTACGTATAAAAATCATAAGTAAAATATTAGTAAACGGAACATAGGAATATATTAAAATTATGATCAAAAAGGGCCTTTTGTATACAATACTAGGATATCAAAAGAGAAAAACAGTGTGATCTAAGTAAATGCCAAAACAGCAGTTGATACTTGGAATGGAAGAAAAATAGCTGGAAAACAGAACTCATACAATGTCATACTTCATGGTAAAGCATTAGAAATACTTTCCTCAAAGTCAATAAGGCAAGTATGCCTACCAGTTTACTTTTTTCCTAGAGATCATAACCTATACATTAGAATTTTTAAAGTAGACAAAAAAATATAGATTAAAAAGAGCTGGAACAGTCATTATTTGTAAATAATATTGTTGTTGTTATTTAGCACCATCAAGTCGGTTCCAACCCACAGCGAACCTGTATAGGGTTTCCAAGGAGCAGTTAATGATCTTGAACCACCGACCTTGCAGTCTGACACATTAGCCCATGGTGCCACAGTGGTGGTGGTGCTGGTTATGTGTCGTGGAGTCAGTTCTGACTCATAGCGACCCTGATTAGGGTTTCCAAGGCTGTAAATCTTTATGGGAACAGAAAGCCTCATCTTTCTCCCATGGAACTGCTGGTAGTTTCGAACTGGTGACCATGAGGTTAGCGGCCCGACTCGTAACCACTACGCTACCAGAGCTCCTTACAGCGCCATGGTAAACTACCAAAAAAAATCCAAAATGATTAGCTGACAATTAGAACCAAAAACAGAAATCAGCAAGGCAATCACATATAAGATCAACTTATAAAAACTTAAAAACACAAACTTTCTTATAAACTAGCAATAAACAATTAGAATATACAATGGGAAAAATAATTTCATTAGCAATTGGAAGAAAAAGTTTTAAAATGTTAAGAATATTTTAAAACATGAGCATGTCCTACATGCACACTAAATAATTTTGCTGAGGGGATAAAGTGATCTTGAATGAATAATGTTATCATGTTATTGGAAGGAAATCTGAATATTGCAAATACATTGAATTTCTGCTTATTAATTTCTAAAGCCAACAGAAATTCAATTAAAAAAGCACCAACAGGATTTCTTATGTAGCTTGATAAGTAAATCTAAAGGTCCTCTATAAAAGACATCGTGCAGATTTATGGAGGTATAAAGAGGCTGGCAATTCTTCTCCATATATAGCAAATAAAAACTGGATAAAATGATCAAATACAACTATTTCAGGGCACTGAAAATTACAAACTGAAGGCTATGCTTGAAAAACTGCTAGAATTACAGGTAAGAATGCTGGGAGGCTGTGACATTTCATTTACTGTGGCTATGATGGATAATACATTGGCTGACTTGTTTGGGAATGAATGGAGAAAAGGTGAAATTTTGCTAGTTTAAGATTGAGATCCTGGTTAGGATAAATGCCTAACTAGTCAGAAAATTAATGGGGAGACTGCATGAATGAGAATGTTACTGATGGTTTGTAATAAGCATTCCTGACTAAATAGAAAGGTAGGCATTTGTGAGGGAGACTTAAGAAAGCCCCACATAAAGTGAAAGCCAAGGGAGGTTTGAGAACTGGTTGCAATTTTAATTGTGTTTCCAAACCACACAAAAGCCAATCAGCAAGATAAGAAGAGGGGGCACATGCATAAGTACACACACAATACCCACTTGACCTGGCTTCAATGGCTGGATGATCAAAGCTCAAACAGAAGAAGAAAGATAAGGAAAAAAGAATAATCTGATACAATTTGATGAACTTGACATACACCTATGGAAGCAGTAGCTCAAAAGAGAAAACAAATCTTCACAGTGAATATCATTCCCATCTCCTCAGAGAGGGGCAACTTGGACACTGGCTATCCAGAATGGGGGTGGGGGGAGCGGGGGGACTACAGAGGCAAGAATTGACTGGCTTACAAGCTTTCAAGAGGGAACCTAGATCCAGAGGGCATGGAGCAAGGTAGAATCTCCACTGAGTAGTATCCATTCTGCCTAGTCAGGGCTGATGAAAGGAGATTTGGATAGGTCTCTAGCCATACAATGGCAAATAATTGTTATCGAATGATTGTTATCAGGACGGATTGTAAGGGCTGGAAATGTAAAGGTAGACGTTTGGGGTCAAAGGGAGGGGAGTGATTAACTTTTCATTCTAGGAGCAGAGGTCCCTGGGACCATCAAAGAAGAAGAGTGGAGAACGGAACCCTACCCAGAGAAGCAGTGATGCCAGGGATGGAGGTGGAGACGATGACGTGGGGAGATGGAGCGGCTGGGGACTTTGGACCCTGAGAGGGAGAGGGGCGGTATGTGGACGACTGGGGAGCAGGCTTGCGGGGTATACCCTTTAGCTGATGGATGATGCATGGAGGAGATTCTAATCATGGCAAGGAAACGATATACGATGGGATCTATGTGAACCTGATGTCCTCCCATGTAAACGATCACATAATTCAAAATAAAACAATTAAAAAAAAAAAAAGTCAATCAGCAAGAGGTGAAAGTCTTAGCAGTTCACGGTATTTCCCACCTCTGCCAAATCATCATACCCACTCTCATCAAGCCTATTCTGACTCACAGCAAATCTTTATGACAACACACAGCCTCATCTTTCTCCTGAGGAGTGACCGATGTGTTTGCACTGCCAACTTTGGTAGTCCAAATGCAAAAGAAGAACTATGAGTCAATACCTTGATGGTATAATGCTTGTTATGGATTCCTGAATCAAGAGGAGGAGGGAGCTAATGTTTAAGTTTTACCTTGATCAATTTCCTAAAGAAGCTGCTTAGATTTGGTCAAATCAGCATGATAATCTCCAGCTTCATCTCAAGCAAAAAGCACCATCAGCAAGGTCTTCTAACATTAAAATGATTTTCTCATATCAAATGTCATTTTAAGATGTCAAATAAGAATTTGATAAAAGAAATTACCTTTTAAATTAAGTTTTCAAAATAGGCAATTCTAGTAACAGAAGAAATACAGCCAGACCGTTCCTTAGAAGCAAGGAAGGCCACACTTAACTCCCTTACATTGGATATCACTGGGAAAGACTAATCCTTAGAAAAGGACATAGCGTTTGGTAGAGTGCCAACTAAAATGAGGGAAGCCCTCAATGAGATGGGCAGACACAACAGCCATGACAACAGACTCCAACATACTGACAGTCATGAGGATGGCACAGAACTAGGCAATGTTTCAACAACAACAAAAAGCAGAAAGCGCATTAGTGATGGCCTAGGGCTGGGGAGTTTTAGGGAGAAGAGGGAATGACAACTAAAGCGTGCAAGGCTTCTTTTGGGGTCATTAAACTGCTCTAAAATTGTAGTGGCAATTGCACAACTCTGTAAATACACTAAAAACCACTGACTTGCACACTGAATTGTGAGTTATACAACATGTAACAAAGACAAAGCATTCCCTTGAGAATCTCAAGTTAAAAAGATTTTTAGTGTATATGATTTTCTTTGTTTAAAGTAATCGGTACATTACTGCAAGATTTAAAAAGAAACAAGGCACTTACCACAGAAGCGTTAGAATTTTTAACTCCTCTGGAGCTAGAACCCTTTCTCTGAAACAGGAACATCTATTGTTCACCTTTTAAATTCTGGAGTTCCAGACATATTTTTCAAGAACACATGTTAAGTACGTAGCCAGGTAACCTAAATAATAAGTCCTCTAACCAAACTATGAACAAAATATTGGGAAAGTACAGTGATCGGCAGTAATTCTCCTGACACGGTTTACGACTGTCTCTTTAATTAGCGGATGTGTCTATCACGCTACAACTTACTTTCATCATGACATTTAGTGCATATTTTTGATCTTCCCGCTTTGCTGCAGCTTTTGCTTCTGAAGCTTCTTTAGCTGTCTCTTGTGCTTGTAAAATAGACTTTTCTCTTATTCTTTGCCTCATCTCTTTGTCAACTGAAAGGTGAAAGGTATTATTAAATCAGCAGTAGCAAGAATTTGTTTCACCTAGACAAAAATAAATTATCATACTCATACAAGTTAAGATTTCTTTTGTCCCAGTTTGTCATGGAGTGACATTATTTCTCAATTAGAAAGTGACCAAGGAGCTAACACTGAAAGGTAAGCAAGTACTCATAAGTAAATGAATTACTTCGGACATCTTATCAGAAGGACTAGTCCCTGGAGAAGGACATCATGCTTAGGAAAGCAGACGGTCAACAAAAGCGGGGAAGACCTTCCATGGGATGGATTGGCACAGTGGCTGCGACAATAAGCTCAAACTCAGCAAAGGCTGTGAGGATACTGCAGGACTGGCAGATTTGGTTCTATTGTACACAGGGTAGCTGTGATTCTGAACAAACTTCACAGCATCTAACAACAACAAATAGAATGGGAAAACAAGAAAAATGACTGGGAGAGGGGATGGAAGGAGTGGGAAAAGCAGGGGAGAGAACCCAAGAGTGACAAGGAGAGCAAGAGAAAGGGAGCGAGAGAAGAAAAGAGTTTTTAAATGCATAAACTTAAATACACATTACTACTAAGAAGCGATATTGAAATATAAATTATTTTAAAATAAATTCTGATGTCATAACATATGCTTCACTACAGATGCACTAAATAATACATAGCAAAAAGTCTAACAAATAGTATAATTTCAAAGTAGTGATGAGTCTACAAGGTAGAGGCATCTGTGATAAAAGAATATTTATGATTTCTACTATCACTAATACTTGTTATATACATTCATAACTGAAGGAAATATTAAATCTCAGAAGTAAAAAGGATGCAATTTTAACTCATCCAAGATCTCCATTAAGACATAAGACTGGGATTAAGTCTAAGGACTGGAAATAAGTCTAGAAGTCTCCGCCAACTTTCCTTCTGTTTCATAATAATAACAAAGAAAGCTGGACTAACTTAAACATCAGAAATAATCAAAAGAACATCAACATTCTAAATTAAATGTTCTATACCGGAGTTCTGGTAGCGCAGTGGTTACGAATCGGGCTGCGAACTGCAAGGTCGGCAGTTCAAAACTACCAGCTGTTCGCGGGAGAAAGACGAGGCTTTCTGCTCCTGTAAAGATTTACAGCCTCGGAAACCCTGTACAGGGTCGCTATGAGTCGGAACCGACTCCATGGCACATAACAACAACAACATACCTAAAGGAGAGAGCACAGGAGCTCTATAGAATAAGCACAGGCCTACAAACCTCAAGGTCAAAGGTTCGAGACCACCAGCAATCTGCAGAAAAACATGAAGCCTGCTGCTTCCATAAAGATATACAGCCTCAGAAACCCCATACAGAGTCTCTATGAGTCAGAACTGACTCAACAGCATTTCACAATACCTAAAGGAAAGAAGCCTGGGTACCATAGCAGGTTAAACCTCTAACTGCAGGTCAGCAGTTTGAATCTACCAGCTGTTCGGTGGGAGGAAGATGAGGCTTTCTGCTCCCGTACAGATTTATAACCTTGGAAACCCCATGCAGGGTTGCTATGAGTCAGAACGTACAAGACAGCGCACAACCACTACCACCACCATCATTTGTCTATTTTAAACTAAGCTGCTATAATAAATAATGATTTTGGTAACTTTAAATTATCAAAATTTGAAAGAAATGAATGTCTTTAGAGCACCCTGGATTAGGCCCCATCACTCACTCACTGAATTCAGAAGGGGAGTGAAGGTGGGAGGGCAGAATATGATTTGTACAAAAACGTCTCAGGTAGTTTGTAACTCACCAAAGAACTAAAATAACAGGCTACAGTAACCTACCTGAGCCACATTTTCTGAACTAAATACTAAATCTTAGAGAAAATTGTATCTACATGTTGATCCTATACATTAAAAAATTAACCTCAAGACATTATTAATAAAAATAGTGGTGTAATTTGTCCCATTCTCAATATTCCCTACTCAAGGCTTAACAGCCAGAAACCTGAAAGACATTCAAGGGAATAGATATCTAAAGCACGAGAAAACTTATGTTGCAAATACATCTATGAATATAGTAGAGCATACTGGATGCAAAGTTATGAAACCTTCTTAGACATAACTAACACCTTGGAGGAATGAGTTGCTGGGCCTGAGGACTCAGAACCATAGTCTCAGGAGATACTAAGATCAATAGGCATAATATAATCCACAAAGACTACATGCTTTTGCATCTTAAAAGCTGGTGCGTGGCCATCTAAGGTGCAACTTCCCATCTGAAGCAACAGAAAACAGAAGCAGCATTGAAACAGTTATTCCAATGGGTCCAATGAACATCACCCTCCATGACTCCGAGACCAGAAGAAATAGACAATGCCTAGCTACCACTACCAAACCACCACTCATCTGTCAGTTTGGGCTTTGTGTTGTTGTGATGTTGGAAGCTATGCCACTGATATTTCAAATACCAGCAGGGCCAGCCACAGTACACAGGTTTCAGCAGAGTTTCCAAACTAAGTCAGACTGAGAAGGAAAAAGAGGCAGTCCATCTGTGAAAGATTAGCACTAAAAATTTTATGAATAGAAGTGAAATATTGTCTGATGTAGTGCCAGAAGATGAGCCCCATAATTTGGAAAGCACTCAAAATACAACTGTGAAAAAGCTGCTTCCCCAAAGTGCAGTCAACCTTAAAGTACTCTGGAGTAGAACTCTCAGGACCTTCATGTACTGATATATTACCTGACTCAAAATGAGAACAGCCATTAATAATCAGAATGTGGAATACATGAAGTATGAATCTAGGAAAATTATGAGTAGTCAAAAATAAAACGGAATACATAAAGACTGATATCCTAGGCATTGTTGTTGTTGTTGTTGTTAAAGTACTGTCGAGTCAGTTCCAATTCATAGCCACCTTCCAAGGAGCAGCTGGTGGGTCTGAATAGCTGACCTTGTGGTTCGAAGTCCAGTGCTGATCCTAGCCATTAACTGATACTGGCCATTTTGAACAGGACAATCACATGGTCTACTATGCCAGGCAAGACAAATTGAAGAGATTGGGATTCGCATTCATTGTCCAAAAGAACACTTCAAGATCTATCCTGAAGTACAATGCTGTCAGTGATAGGATAATATCCATATGCTTACAAGGAAAACCAGTTAATATGAGTATTATTCAAATTTATGCACTAGCTACTAAAGCCAAAAGTTAACAAATGAGGCTTTCAACTCCTATAAACATTTATAGCCTTAGAAACCTCACACAGGTTGATGAG